AGTACTTTATATTATAGGAGTACTTATAGTGAACTTAGTTAATAAGCTAGTGGAGTCATTAGCTTCAATAAACGTAGAAAATTTTGAGAGCGCATTGTAATTGGTTGTTCTTAAATGTTTTTATAATTTCAGTTTAATTATAAAAGCGAAGGCGATTGTAGGCACGAATCTAATCAATTTTTTTATCTATACAGAGTGTCAGGGGAAATTCTGAAACTATAAGACATACAGGATATTGAATTTACAAGTTAACTAGCGGCCCGCCCTCGCTTCGCTTCGGTGTAGAGCTGAAGTGTAGACTACAGTTTTTGTTCTCAGGCTTGTATTATACACAATGACATTCATCTATGATTCTTCTTATACCTGCATGCAAAGTCTCAGCCCGATCGGTTTAAAATTGACAAAGTTTCATTCCCTATTCTATCCCCTTGGGAGTAGAATTGATCAAAATCCTTTCTTAGCGGATGCATACGTCATAACATCTACCTGCATGCCAAATTTTAGCCCGATCCGTCCAGTGGTTTGGACTGTGCGTTGATAAATCACTATGTCAGTCAGCCACCTTTGAGTTTTATATATAAAGATTACAAACTTAACATCAAACGATGCAAATAACACAAAAATTTTGATAAACGGCTGTTGATAACCAATTGATTACATTAATTGTTGTCAATTTATAAGCAGTTCATGAAGCTGATTTTTATGAGACGAATGTTCGTATTGTATGTTAAAGACAATAAACTATTAATGTTTACAGCAACATGAGTAGTTAGGTAGGTAACGATTTAATTGAATCTGGTTGCCATGCTGAAGATTTTTCTTAACATTAATTAACCTAGGGGCTAGGGATGAAACGATACCATAGTCACCTTTGAGTTTTATATAGATAGATTACATTTTGCTTGAGATAGAAATATGAGAATTTCACAATCATTTCGTTGTTAAACCTTGGTGAGTCTTTATTTATATTTTACTTAACACAGTAAGTAGGTTAATTAAAACTACTAAAGGTTTATTTTGATAAGACAACATTGTTTACAGTTATGCTTTAGTAACTAAATAATATTCATATATATTTTATTTATTCTTGTTTGTTCTGTCTCATTTTTTAACTACACTAGTTAACCTTGCTCTGAGAAATTATTGCACAATATGTTTATAACAATGATTTAGTTTTTATTACATATAGAACAACAAAAATTACGTATACATTGGATCTTTAAAAACAAAAAGTGACACTATTTTTCAATAAGTAAGTGTCGCCGCACACGGACCACACGCCACAACCACAAACGCCGCCACGAGAAGCTAGAAGCGGCTACTAAAGTGGCTGAAGCGCGCGACAGCGGCCGTCTGATACCCGCCATACACACTACGAGAAATCGTTACGATCGGACTGTACAGTTCGAACGGTACAGTTTATACGATTTCGTTTAGTATAGGAAACTGTGCAGTTTTATAACATACACGCTACGATTTATCGGTACCGTTCGGACTGTACAGTCTAATCGTAACGATTTCTCGTAGTGTGTATGGCGGGTATAAGGTAAGGAAGATAGGGGTGGGGAATCGCGCGAGTGACGTGTGGCGGCGTTTTGTATCGGCGCATTAAGTGGCCGGTGCGGGCCACAAGAAGCGAGCAACGACGATTTGTAGCGTGAGGCGGCCACCGGCGTACCGTGTGTGGTGAGTCCATATAAAATGAATGAAAACTACAAGAAATATGCCGGTGGCGGCGTTTTGTGGTTGTGGTCGGTGGCCCGTGTGCGGCGACACTAAATGGATATTCGCTTCACTTCGGTGTAAGCTAGGGTTGCCAGATGCTGGCTTATTAATTTCGGGACTATATCCGCTAAGAGGCGAATGCTCAGACAGATTCGAACGGCAAGTTTATTTCACACTGTGTATAGACTCAAGAAGTTAGTTTATGATCTTTTTTCAATCATGCTTGGAAATATGGGCATTATTTTGAAAACCTTCTTTGAGACAAATTGAAATTGTTGTACTGGTCATATATATGCGAGCAGCGGCCGGCGAAAGTTGTATGAAAAATCATATCTGTAGTGTTTAGCGGCCAAATAAATTACAAAACAATCTCATATCTGTCGTTTAATTTACAAATGGAATGGACCATTTTCTCCGAAACATGGCAACCAAGGAGGTAACCTATCAAAGCTTTTATTTAAATTTCGAACTGGATTTCGGAAAATAAAAAGCTGTTTATAAAAAAAACAAATGAAATTTCCACAATTTCGAAAGTTCCGCCTAGGTACTTCTACTTAGTTTTAATTTCCCCGCATTATTTGAGAAAAGTACTATACAAGCCTTGGCCACAACACGGCCTGGACTTATAAGTCGCGGCACGAAACTTAGGCTTGTTGAAAATATATCGATGTATCGATATATCGATATTTTTTGCAGATATATTTTGATTCGATATATCGATACATCGATACAAAATAACCAATATCGAAATTCCTATCAAAAACGATATTTTTTTAATTATTAGCGGCATATCACGATCTTACTAAATTCGTCTCTGGAAAAATCGTAACTAAATCTCAGATTAATGATATTCAACATATCTATGATCTGTGCTGTATTTGGTATTGTCTATCATCATTCGAAAATAGGGTCTATTTTTAGGGAGATAATTTTCGTTCCATTATTATTCCGCGTGTCATATTTCGTGAGCTACTGTACGATATTTTTGGGAAAATTGGTCCGATATATCGATATATCGATGTTTTTTTCGCGATATATCAAAGCCGATATTGATATTTTTTAAAAGATCGATGTATCGATATATCGATATTTTTTTCAACTTTCGACATCCCTAACGAAACTTTAACGCTGACCGTTATTGCGCAGAAGTAAAAATTAAGATGTCTTGGGGGGAAACGAGGTGCGCGGGTGAGCGTGCGTTGCGCCGATTGGCTCTCCAGTCGTACCGATGCGTAGCTATACCCTCCGCGTTTTGTTCAGCGTTAGAGTTACGTCACAGCGGTGACACTCTCTGTACGTGAGAGTTCCAGCGTCAGTGACCTTGAGCAGGAGCGTGTATGCGCTAGGGTTGAACTTGGAATTTAGACTTGTGCCAATGACTATTTATGCATAGTAAGTTATTAAATGTAAACTGATTCAAGGATACTGGGGTAAATAATGAAGGACAGGTTTGATTTTATAATCAATTTTTAAACTTTTAATGTAGGTACTGTAACAAATTGCTAACTTTTATATATTTTCTCCTATTTCGATTCGTTTTATAATTCTTATTATTATTTAAATAATAATAAGATTGCGTAGCGTAGTCAGTCTGTGCGTGCAATGCAGTGCAACGCTATTATTTTACTATTTCGCTACTGCCATGCCTTCGGTCGAGGCAGTCGGCGACTGCCCTCTCCACGTCCCGCGCGCCGCGCAACGCCCCCGCGCACCTCCAGACACCCACACATAGCCGCGGGCGATTTTACGAGCACACATGCTTAAGTGTCGCTTCTTTTCGCGTAGTGTATATATTCTGTGGTTATGTGCCGCGACCTGTACGTATGTGCTCTTTTGCTGGCCGCTGCAGTAATGTACTATTGTTTAATATTTATCTTCGAAATTTGTTTATTTATCGAAATGAAGTTCCTTTTTGGACCCGTCCTGGTACCCTAGGCGAAATGTTTCCGTCACAACCTAGCCTAGGCAGCAGGGCGGGTAGCTTTTTGCTATGCTGCGCAGCGACAGATCTTGGCAGGCCGTGGCCCCTTTTTCCGAGGACGTCATCTCTCAGAAGGAGGCTGCAGAGAGGGTTCGCGAGGAGCAAGGTCACGTGGACTCTCTCCGACGTAGGAGGGTGAGGGCATGGAGACGGGGGAATCCCCGTCGTCTTCAGGCTCTCCCTGGCAGAGGACTGCGGGGTATGGACTTGGGAAGTTCAGATCCTGCCTTGCACAGGTCTTTGCTGGGGATGCCCATGATGCTCCAGGGCATCCCCAACACTCTCCTCTTCCGGGGGGAGAGGGGTGTGTCCGTTTGACTCGGACGCTCACTGGTGAGGTCGCGGAAGATTCCATAAGGGTTCCCGTGGTCTCATCTAGTGCCGTTGTCTCAACCACGCTGGTTGGGATCGTGGACCGAGTGAGGTGAGGGGCATCGTTAGGTTTTTAGTGGGTAGGGCCCCCCCTCTTGGGCGTTCACTGAGCTAGTCCCAGGACTGGCTGAGCGGACTGGCAGGACGGGTCGGGAGGAGTCCCACATAACCCCGTTGCCACTCCCAGGTGGCGGGATATGCGTCATGCATTTTCCTGACGAAAAAAAAGGCGGGTAGCTTGATGAGGAACTAGGTGGCTGTGGACTCGGTTTAAAATCTCTTATCTATTAGACAAGTCCGTCCGTCCGTCTGTGGTGCTGTTTCAGCGGCCAAACCGTAAGAGATAGATAAAGAGAATATTTAAGTTATAAGTTAAGAATAGTCTGATAAGATTACAAACCGGATTTGAGTAACGTAGCACTTCCGGTTTTCGAGAAATCACGAATTTCAAACGAAACCACACAAAATCTCCGAAGTTCTCAATTAATTAAATACATTTTTTTTTAAATCAGGTTTTGGTGAACATTTGGTTCACTGGTTTGCTAGTTTTGTTTAATAGTTGCTAGACTCACCACGCTGTCACAGCGTGCGGTTTGGTGGATAGGATTTTTTTATAGAATAGGCAGATATTGAGATGTTTACAGTTATAGGGTAGGCACTGGGCACGATCCACATTCGGCCCAATCCGCACTGGGTCCAGTGGGTAGGATATTTTTTTTATGAAACTGGAAAATTGGGTGTTGAGTCTCGACGCGGGCCTAGTGCGGATTTGTGGGCGGTACATAAATATATTTTTATTTCCAACTGAGTGTTTTACGACACACACAATTTAATATCTTCTTTCCTCTGCGAATGTATTTAAATTGTGCTGCATAGAAATTGTATACAGCAATGTTTTAGTCACCCTCGTGTTTGCTTCCAGGGTTCCCCTCGGAGCTGGTGTACCGAGGCTCTGCGATGTGGGAGACGCTGTACGGGATCATCCTGGCTTTCCCCATCGTCTGCTTCCTCTTCGTACCGGTCTACTTCAAGCTACATACCAATTCTGTGTACGAGTATTTACAGGTAAAATAAAACTTCAAATAAAATTATTGTTAAGTAAATATTAAATGAGGAGCTCGGTGGCGCAAGTGGTTAGCGCGTTCGACTGCGATCGTTGAAGTTAAGCAACTTTCGCAGTGGTCGGTCCGTGGATGGGTGACCAAAAATTTACTATCTCGAGCTCCTCCGTGCTTCAGAAGGCACGCTAAGCTGTTGGTCTCGGCTACATTTGCAGTCGCCAGCACCCACCAATCCGCACTGGGCCCGCGTGGTGGGTCCTGGCCCAATCTCCCTATTCCATCCATAGGGACACAATAATAAAGGAATTTTAAAGCGAATCATTACTTGTGATGAAAAGTAGATACTGTACGATAATCGGAAGCGCTCGTCTCAATGGCTGAACCCTGGAGAGCCAAATCCTGCCCTAAACAAAAATTGACTCAGAAAAATTTACTCGTGAGTATTTGGTGGAGGAGCGCGCGATGTCGTTCACTACAGCTTTCTAAAATCTGGCCAAACGGTTACGGCAAATATCAATTGTCAGCAACTGCAAACCATGAATGACTAGCTACTAAACAACTGAGATTGGTCAATCGCTTTAGGCCACTGTACAATAAAAAAACCACTAAGTTAGATGAGCTAAAATGGGAATGTCTGAGACATCCAAAACCCAAACCTTCTTTGGCCACATCTCACGCCGAGAAGATGCGTCAGTGGAATGACTGGTGGTGCAGGGCAAAGTCGAGGGCGTAAGGGCGCGCGGCAGATCACCAATGTGCTGGACTGACCAGATAAAAGCGGCACTGAACGGTCCACTTCACGAGTGCACGGGAAAGGCCGCAGTGCGCGACGAATGGCGGCGTATTGTGAAGCGCGCCACCAATCCTGATGTGACGACCACGACCACTCTGTCAAGAGTGTAGCGCCGAAGAAGAAGAGACATCCACCGTATTCCCTGGACCTTGCTCTAACAGATTACCATTTTTTCCGGAATTTGGACAACTTTTTGCAAGGGAAAAAATTCTGTCTGTCCAAACCGCCTTCAAAGAGTTTATCGATTCTCACCCCCATGATTTTTTTAGTAAAGCGTCAATGAACTCCCCATGAGATGGCAAAAGTGCATAGATAACAACGGTGTGATTAATTAAATATATTTTACAAAAAAAAATAACTTTATATTCCTCTCATACAAAACACCAATTTCATATGTAAGGGCTTAATATTCAAATTATAATAACATCTGTTGCTAAGTTACGGACCCAGATTATTCTTACTTTTTACTGGAGTTTAATTACTGAATCGCCAGTGCGCCGCAATGTAAAAAAACGGTTAAGTGTCGCCGCACACGAGCCACCGAACACAACCACAAAACGCCGCCACCGGCATATTTCTTGTAGTTTTCATACATTTTATATGGACTCGCCACACACGGTACGCCGGTGGCCGCCACACGCTACAAATCGTCGTTGCTCGCTTCTTGTGGCCCGCTCCGGCCACTTAATGCGCCGATACAAAACGCCGCCACACGTCACTCGCGCGATTCCCCATCCCTCTCACCCTTGCCTTAGTCGGCCGCTGTCTATCTGCTGGCTGTGATTTTTTATATGAGTTGATTGAATGAAAACTTTACATAATAATAATATAATAGCGGTTAACGATTTATGAATTTTCGGTGGAAGTTTGCATGGTAATTTTTTTTAAGTTTTATAATAATAATAATAATAAATATTTCCAACACTCACACCAATTAACCTAGCCCCAAAGTAAGCACTATAAGGCTTGTGTTATGAGATGCTAGGGTAACGGATAGAATACATAAACTGTACATATATAGGTATATTTTTATAGAAATACATATTAAACATCCACGACTGGAGAACAAATGCTCGTATTCCTCACACAAACATCTGTCCCCACCGGGATTTGAACCCTTGGCAACATTGAAACCCGGCATCCAAACCACTAGGCCACGGAGATCGTCATCTAAATCACTTGGCAGAGTTTTGTTTAACCAAGTTCAACCTTCAAAAAGGGCTATCTCACTTTGACCAATCCATACTAATATTATAAATGGGAAAGTGTGTTTGTTTGTTTGTTTGTCTTCTCTTCACGCCTAAACTGCTGAACCGATTGTGTTGAAATTTGGTAAATGTATAGCTTGAACTTATGAGCCTGCTATAGGCTACTTTTTTTTAATTTATATATTCGAATTTACATAATTTTCAACTAAATTAATCATTTTCATGGTTGGTCCCGATAGAGATGGCGCTACTGTCACGAAGACAGATTAAATTTGAAATGTGGAAGTTGCTATCTTAACTTAATAATACGAGATGGCATCACTCGTGCCATCCGAGCCATACCGAGTATTTTGTGTTAGTGTTTCATTTATTAAATACGCAATAAAGGTAATTTACGCAATTTCTTTCTAATCTTATTTTTAAAATTAAATCTAGCAAATACTACTCCAAATTTATAATATAAAAATATCATTTTCGAGTGATTATAGATAGAGATGGCGCTACCATCTCGAATACCAACTCAACCGAGTAGTCTCTCTTGAAATAATATTTTCTGAGTAACTTAACAGATGGCACCACCCGTCTTTAATATCGAGAATTTTTAAATGCTAAAAATGTGAGTTGTGATATTGCGTTTTTTCAGATCGCGCTATTTATGAACATGACTTTTTAATATTTATTGTTAATTTTAACGTCATGTAGGTAGATATTTTAATTAAAACAATATTAGTAAAAAAAAACGACTTCCTTCAGTGTACTAATATCTTACCAGAAAATCTTATAAACATCAAATAGATATTAAATAATCAGCTGTTTACAGTAGACAGATATTAAATAAACAGCTGTTATGATTTATTTTAGTCCCTTAATCGAGTATTATCCAATAATTTTCAAGTGGAGATGATCCTGGATGTTGAGTAGAGGTAGGCGCTACCAACTCGAATAACAATTCGAAAACCAAGCTGTTGCGTGTGAAACTGAAGAGATGTCGCTACCCGAGTCGAGTTTACTTGCACTAAAAATCTGAGGTTTTTCGGATGGCGCTATTCATGAACATTACTTTTTTTATATTTATTGTTTTTGACTAGCTGTTACCCGCGGCTACGCTCGCGTGGTTTTCCTATTTGAGGCTACCATCCTCTTTTGACATAGTGAGTAAAAAAGTAGCTTATAGCAACCCAAAGCTTCAACGTATTAGTGCAGTCATTGAAGCGAAAAATACGGTCTTACCTCCGAATTTTTTTACTGTGAACTGTTTTGCATGAAATTTTGGAATTAGGCTCACCTTACCCTTAACTTCAAAAGTGAAAATGATCTGAACTCCGCCTATTATTTTTAAGGGGTGTAAACAACCCCGTAATGGAAAAATTGATATTGAGCCATTTCCTACCTACCTTGATTGATTTTAAAGAAATACGATTTACCAAGGTACCATATCTGTTTTTGTTTTCCTTTGTGATTTGGTTTTGTTGTGCATTAAATGAATTAGGTAGGTATTTTGGTAGTTTCTTCGAATGTATAAAATTGACTCACTGATAAAAATTATGGAAAAACACATAACATCGTGTACAGTAGCGTACTTAAATAGTACTGCTATGTGTTTAAAATAATTAAACCCTTTATTCTAATAATACTAATGCTTTTACCCCTTAATGGAAAAATTGACATTGAGCCATTTTATAGCTAGAAAACATGTCTAATAGTAAGTGATGAAATTGTAAAGTATTTTCTAACATAATTACCCCATATTAAAATCATTTTCAACCCCTTGAAAATCTTACAACCCTTGCAAACAACCCCTAAATTGAAAAAATCACAAAAAAATACTTTGGTATGACATAAAAAGATTTTGTATTAGAATGCATAAAATGCATCTGCTCGCCGCTAGATGGCATTGACCACATCGATTAAATTTCAGACAAAATAAAAAACGGCTTTGATCTTTGATATCTAGCTTAATATTGCACTTAGAATACTCTATAAAAAACCAAATTGTTCATTGTTTTACCTGCTACAATTTTGTTCTTTATAAAATTTTCCATAAAACTTACATTTTTGGAGATATTTGCAAAAAACCGATGAAAAACGGGAAAAAAATTCGAATTTTCAATTGCCAATAACTTGAAAAGTATTGGATTTTTTGAAAAACTTTATAGATGATTTTTTGCTTAAAATTTATTACAATACTTATTTTGAAAAAAAAATCACCCCCCAGAAGGGGTGGCAACCATCATTTTCACTTTTGAAGTTAAGGGTAAGATGAACCTAATTCCAAAATTGTATGCAATTCGGTTCACAGTAAAAAAATTCGGAGTAATAATGCTTCAATGACTGCACTATATATACTTACCAAATTTCAAAGTGGTTTAGGCTTCGAGGAAGGATAAACAAAACAAACACTCTCATAATAATACCTAATACTACTATGGATAGTACGTAATAAAACTTCAAAATGTAAAAGCATTAGTATTATTAGAATAAAGGGTTTAATTATTTTAAACACATAGCAGTACTATTTAAGTACGCTACTGTACACGATGTTATGTGTTTTTCCATAATTTTTATCAGTGAGTCAATTTTATACATTCGAAGAAAATACCAAAATACCTACCTAATTCATTTAATGCACAACAAAACCAAATCACAAAGGAAAACAAAAACAGATATGGTACCTTGGTAAATCGTATTTCTTTAAAATCAATCAAGGTAGGTAGGAAATGGCTCAATGTCAATTTTTCCATTACGGGGTTGTTTACACCCCTTAAAAATAATAGGCGGAGTTCAGATCATTTTCACTTTTGAAGTTATGGGTAAGGTGAGCCTAATTCCAAAATTTCATGCAAAACGGTTCACAGTAAAAAATTCTGAGGTAAGACCGTATTTTTCGCTTCAATGACTGCACTAATACGTTGAAGCTTTGGGTTGCTATAAGCTACTTTTTTACTCACTATGTCAAAAGAGGATGATAGCCTCAAATAGGAAAACCACGCGAGCGTAGCCGCGGGTAACAGCTGGTATTTATATATTACAATCAGCAATTTTTATTAAACAAAATCCAGAATACTTTGAAAATAAAACCACATTACGTCCGAATACGCGTAGTAATTATAAATATGATATATGCATACCTAGGATAAATAATCACTTGTATTATAATAGCGCTTTCAGTACTAGTATAAGGACCTTCAATCATTTGCCTGCAGAAATTAAAGCACACAATTTGCCACAGTTTAAATTTAAGTAAAAAGCTGGTTATTAAATAATGTTTTTTATAATCTTGATGAATATTATACTTGTAAAACTTAATATAATTTAGGCTCTAAAATGTACTTTTTAAATTAAGATAGTTTTAAGTTACAAATTTTACCATTGCATGCCCGTTGTGGGCACACTGTTGTGACTTTGTTATTATTGCAATACCAACTGCAAAATTGTACACAGTTTTTTAAGCAATAAAGTTATTATTATTGAAGTTATACTTCTTTAGGCGCGTTATGAAAAAATGATGAGAGTGAAATTTTAAGATGCGCGCGCATCACTGTATCACAAAATTTTAACAGCATGAAGTTGGTCGGTTTAGCGACCAACTTCATGCGTTACTTTTGTGTTTACCGCACATTAAGAAAATCTACCAACAAAATAGAAATAGAATCTCTATTTAGTGGGTGCTAACGACTGCATTGTGAAGGCCTATCAAAAGTATTTATTAATCTGGAACAACGGAACCAAAGCGCGATTCAGGAGACTACAGCGCCATCTCTTGACCATTGGTGGATAACTTCTCACGCGCCTACATAAGTACACGCACCCATTTTTATTAAAGGTTTCAATACAATAAGTTGTGAACGTTAAAAGAATCTAATTACCTCCCTATTCTAATGCCTAGGCATCCAATTAAACAAATGGCTGCGACATAAACATAATATGACAGTAATAGCTAGGTACCTAGAATATTGTAATTATAGTAATCTTTTAAATAATAGTCAACACAACGCAGGTACGTAAATTCTAACATCCTTCTGCCAGAAGAATAATTAACACAAAGTGCTTTTATACAGTCTATAATAGTACATTATCAACATGCAGTGTTGCCAGGTCTCCAGATATTACAGGAGATCTCCTGTTTTTCTGAAATTTCTCCTGTTCTACTGTTTTTCTACATGAATCTCCTGTTTTTCTTAGAATACAATTTTCTTTTTAAAAATTGCATGTTGAGTTGCATTTTCGGCCATTAACTCTGTAGGTAACCTTATTAATTTTAAAATAAATGTTATTGTATAAAAAAACAGCGGGGTGGTACAAGCCACAGAAACATATTCGTTACAGGTCTTTATCTTGATTTGATTTACCAATTCTAGTGGGGGGGGGGGGGGGGGGGGAGGGTGCAAATCGGAAAAAGTACGCCTCTGGATCTACTGTTTTTCTTGTAGCTCTTTCCATACATCTACTGTTTTTTTCTATAACTCCTCCCGATTTTTTGAAATCGTAGCAACACTGTCCACATGATCATTTTCATACTGTTCGAACTAAATAACAGCAGTGGTCATTATAATAATTCCTGAATCAACATTCATGAAAGAGCCAAAAGCGTACAAGTTCATAGCAGTGTAAAATAACCGTTAACCAAGGTATTGCTATTGTGGTTTTTATAATAGATGTTATTTTATGATGCCGTAGAACATGATCTAGGTACCATTGCAACGCAATTTAGTAGAATAGAATAATTCTTTATTGCAAAACTGTTTGTTACGTTTGGTGATACTGCCAGATGTTAGTGCACACAATTGAAATAAACAGTTACCCTAATCGGGCATGCAATAGCCATTTTTACAAAACATTATTATTAAAATATTCATTTAGATGAAAAATTTCATCAGGCCAGCCCAGCCCAGCTCCATCAGGAACGCCCCTACGGCCTTCACATTGGTGACAACCTAACTTAACAGTTAATTGACTTTATTTTTTAAAACGTGACGTCATACGACATTTTAAAATGTGAATATAATAATAAAATTTTTAACACACACCAATTAGCCTAGCACCAAAGTAAGCACTGTAGGCTTGTGTTATAGAGTACTAGGGTAACGGATAGAATACATATATAAGTACATTTATATAAAATATAAAATGCATTATATAATAACCATTGCTTCAGGGACCTTACAAACTTATATTCAGGAAGTGACCGCAGATAAGGCAGTAAATTATTGTATATTCGTATGGCAGACATATTTAAGTACTTTTTTCAAAAATTGCTGAATTTAATCGAGGTAAATGGAATTTGTCTTCACGTCTCATCGGGGTTATTCTAGCTTTCTTGTCAGAGATCTTTGGGAATTCAGACATACGACATCTTAAAAATTTACACATTTCTAATATATAAATATAGGTCAATGTTAAAATTTGTTTTGCTTTAAAAATATTACGCATTGATTCGTCACTATATTTATTAAAAAATATTGTTAAACACCTTTTTTGTAACAGGAATGTACTTTCAACATTAACAGAATTGCCCTAAAATATAATTCCATAGCTAAATATGGAATATGTATTACCATAATAAGCATTTAATGCTACTTCAGTGGAAGATATATCGGTCAACACTGAAAGGGCGTAACAATAACTACTTATTTTGGCATTAATTTCCTCTATTTGATTTTTCCAATTCAGGTGAGTATCTATGGTAATACCAAGGAAATTAGTTGGCGACCTAGGTAACACTGAAAATGTTAAGAAAATGAAAGACGGCTTAATGTAGAAAGTTGCCAATACTTTTATTGTTTTTCGAAGTGATCTCCGCTCCTCTCTACACATCGTCGCATTCGATGGAACCACTGAGGAAAGCAGTGGGCCCATTCTTCCTTAGGGATCTCTTCTATGGCATTAACGTACGCTTTCACCGCAGCTTCAGGGCTCGTCAAGCGACTACCTCGAATTTTATCTTTAGTTCTTGGGAATAAATGAAAGTCACAGGGCGCCAGGTCAGGACTGTATGGCGGATGACTCATTATCTCGACACCTGCCATAGTCAAATAATTAAAAGTCTATTTTGCGGAGTACGTTGAAGCATTGTCGTGGTGAAGGAGGATCCTGCTTTGAGGGGGCTGCTGTCGAATTTTTTCCAAGACAACAGGCAAACAGCGATTGACATACCAGTCTGCAGTAACTGTCCTTCCATCTTCTAGCATATCTGTCGCGCAATGACCTTTCTGACCAAAGAATGAGGCAATCATCTTCTTTCCTTGACTTCTTCCTTACTTTACCTTAGTTGGCCGATCCTCAAAAGGAAACACCCACTGAGCTGATTGTCTTTTGGTTTCGGGTTCGTCGCAATATATCTAGCTTTCATCATCTGCGAAGATGTCAAATACAGCATTTGAGTCACCGCCGCTGAACTTATCTTACATTTGGCGATCAGTCCATGCGAAGGTGTTTCTGGTCGTCGGTTAAAGTATGGGGAATCCATCTGGTACAAAGCTTCCTGATGTCTAAATGTTAATGTACTTTTTTGACCTTGACTCATACCAATGCCTAGACTTGCCCGTATCTGCTGATAGGTCACTCTCTTATCTTCCTCTATCTTGCGCCGCACAGCACTGATGTTATCTTCAGTAGTCGCTGTTAAAGGACGTCCCTCACGCGGGTCATCATTGAGATTGCTACGTCCACGCTTAAACTCGTTAAACCAATTGTAAATACTGGCACGAGATGGGGCTTCATTAAGAAATACTAATCGCAGCCTATCATAGCTTTGTTGTTGAGTAAGCCCACAACGAAAGTCATAATAAATAGAGTAACAAGAGTTTTAGATTTGCCGCTAATACACAAAAACAAATGACTAATGAATGCAATACACTACACTAGGTTACCAAAAAGTTCTAAAAGTGAATTTCCAAAAAAAGTTTTCATTAGCGATGTTTCTAACTGACCAGTTCTAAACATTTTCAGTGTAACCCACGTATTGAATTAATGATGTAGTACTATCTGCACTTATGCTGTAGGTATGTCACAACAATCAAAATTCAGGTGAACAATTAATGTATATTTCACATTATGAAATGAAAGGTGACTACGAATCATCTCTGAAGTCATTTCTAACTTGACGACTCTGTACATAATAATACTGGGAGAAAAAGACAGCCCTTGCTGAGTTTGTTGCCGTCTCTTCAAGGTCTCCGGCCGTAGATTTACGTTATTCAGTTCCTTCTATCTTCGATTTTCAGATGCGCTTCGGCTCCAGGTGGGTGCGCAAGGTCGCAGCCGCTACATTCCTTGTCCGGCAGCTGCTGAACCTCGCTGTGACGGTGTACACGCCAACTGTGGCGTTGCACGCGGTGCTGGGGCTACCCCACTGGGCGTCAGCGGCAGTGCTGACTGTTGTTGCTATCGTCTTCAACCTGCTCGGTGGATTGGCTGCAGCAATCAGGTAAGGAGATGCTACGGACAAAGCGATAGTTATATAAAATCATCAGCTCTCTTAAAGGTACTGAGGTTGCCCCACTGGCGTCGGCGGTTGTGCTGACTGTTGTTCCTATCGTCTCCAATCTGTTAGGTGGATTAGCTGTAGCGATCAGGTAAGTTGACACTATGGACTGAGCGACAGTCACATCAAAACAACAACTCTATAAATGGTGTTTGGACTGCCTTCCAAAGATCAGCAAAAGTGCTCACTGTTATCGCTATCGGTTTCAATCTTCTAGGTTAATTGGCTGCGGCAATCAGGTAAGGAGATACAAAAGTAATAGAGATGGAATGTGTTGCACCCGCATGAAATCAGAAATTCTCTAATAAGAGAAGTGGTAACTGTGTTTTGCGCCAGCAGCAGTGCTGACCGTTCTCGGCAGACCCGTTTTTCCCAGTAGGCACTTTGGGCAAGTGCCCAGGGCCCCGCGATCAATAGGGGGCCCCCTCAGATCAAATACAAAGTAGGGACTCTTTTTAATGGAGGAACTAGAGCGTTCCTGTTAAATCACCAAACGGAAGTCATAGGGGCCCCATTATGCCCCAAAGACGGCACTGGTTCTCGGTATTGTCTTCAACCTTATAGGTGGGTTGGCTGCGGCGGTAAGGTAAGGAGATTCTATGTACTGATTGACAGTCGCATGAAATTGACAATATATATTATAGGAGACCAAAACCTCAGGCAAAACAACAAAAACATAGACGGACTATAGACCACCACCCTATTGCTTCGCCTCTCACTTATTTGCCTAGTTTTAATAGAAATTTGAATAAGGACCGCTTAGTTCATTCTCTTTGTCTCTGAGACATATTATGACAATATAATGCGATTCAATTAAGAATAGGACCGACTGGGCGCCATATTGTGATGTCATAGCTGTCAATTCAAACCAAATAGGTAGAGTGAGCAAAACAAAATTTTTATTAAATAAAACTAATTTACTAAGATTAAGTGAGAAAAAGCATCAGATTTTTTTAATAACATTTATTTACTAAGATTGAGAAAAAGAAACACCGATTTTTAATAATATTTATTTATTAAGACTGTCAGAAAAACAATAATCAGAATCTAGCTCTTCTATTCCGCTCATCTCTGCATTACCGCCGGAGTAGTTATGAATAATCATGCACTATTACTAGGTCACATACGAACATGCATCCTTTATGTAAACGAAAGTTTGAAATCGAGTTTCAAGTGACATTTGTTTGACGATTTAGGTATCAACCATTCATGGCCAAAGCTCAATAAGTGAAAAAAAATATCAACCGATATTAATTATCAATATTTGTTTACAAATGTTTGGTTTTTATTCTTGAATTAGCGGAGTGCTAAAAAGGGTTCCAAGATTTTTTTGCAAACTGTACTTTTCAAGCGACATTTGACAGATAGAGGTCATTGGCCTTCCTATTCTTATTTGAATCGCATAATATGTTTTGAGATGCATCAGATATGCACGAGAATGCGTAACAAAGATAGTGTTAGTAAAAGCTTCAATAGAATCGCTTCAATAATCTCGCCTTGGTAAGCACTGATGTGGTGAACAGGCAGGTTGAAATAGCGTATAACATTTAAGATGGCTAACAAATTTTCAATTGTAGTAGGAAACACAATGCAACGCTTGTGAATAGCTTACCATTTTTGCCTTCAACCAATTAAGGGCTTCTTTTAGCTGTGAAGTATTAATGGCTAAAGTGAGAAGAATGTCCATATAATAATGATTCTTACAGCACGCATGTGATTACAGAGGCAATCCTTACATGCTCCGAAACTATTTGCCCCAATATTCCGTTTAGCTGGTAGAGGAAACTTAATAAAATTCAGTCCACGTTCACTAAGCTTTATAAAAATAGGTAAGCTTGTGATACTAGACTTGGAACCAGCTGAAGTTTTTTTCCTGGACCATCTGAAAGATTCAACATTCCAGCAAAGAGCAATAAATTGATAAGTCTATTTATAACTACCAAGATTGCAGTGGGAATGACACAGATTTCCTTATGTCGGTCTGGTGACGTTGATATCAGCACTTAGTTTTGCAGCACTCGGGTATTCGCCCACTAGCACGTGTTATGATGATCATTGCAATAATTTGCTATATTGTTATGGACTACGTATAGAAAAATAGGATTTAGGTATTTAACCTATTAGTCTTATCTACAAAATAAAATAAAACAGCTGGTAATGAAAGAATCCTCAAGAAGCGGTAGAATGAAACTGAAAAATAATTAAGCAATAGCGAACGCTGTAATAGTGACTTCTAAATTTTTCTCGACGATGTCTTGGTTTGTGTGACGGGAGCTCTCTGCCTTCTACAGGTTTTGGGTTCGAATTTCGGTAGGGATAAATTATATTAGTAGGATGAGATTGAGTCTTGGAAGATTATGTACGTACTTTTTATATATTATAGACTAACGTTATTTAATTTACACAGTATAAGCTTTGTTTAGTTTGGGATTAAATTATTCTTGTGAGTAGTCCAGAATTCGTAAAAAATTCTGTGTGTCAGCTCCGACGCACGATTGGAGTTTACTCATTAACTTCGATTGTCTAACCAGACGCAAAAAGAGTTTATTTAACTTAAAAAAGATTGATACTGTATGAAAGGGTAAATTAACATATTAATGAAAATAATATACATATATAAATATATATTTATTCATTTCATATACATTTATTATAACTAATTGACGAAATATTTTAGATTAAACTTTTTACAATAGTCACTTTCAGATGTGCATAAATATATCATTAGGAATGTTGATAAATTATGTAATTATTATTATCAGACTATTATCATTTTATTAAATATTAATTAAATCAACATTGTCTCCATTATTAATTACAGTGACAAGTGGTTTATGGTAACTAAAATAAGACAACACAATGCAACGCATGGACGTTCGTAGATACGTGGTTCACGAATCTTGAAAATACCGCATCAACGGTTGTACCATACCTCGTTGTCCCCATTGCTCTATCAGAAACAATATCTAAATTCAGTTCAGATTTAAAAAAAAAATATTAATGTCAATCCGTCATCTTTGTTTGTCAAAGTTGCGCGACATAGGATGCGCACCAAAAACGTAACGAGGTCATTCATCGATAGATTTTACTCCTCCCACTGTTCTCATACCGGGCCCCTTATATATGCAAATTGATTCTTAAGGAGTAAACTCCAAAAAGTGTTAACCAAGAAAAACAATTTATAACTTATAGGGGAACGGGTGCTGCCAGCGGAGATGAGTCTGCCCTAACTACTTTGATATTTAAGATGTAAATGTTTAATTACACCTATTATAAATAACTCTGTTTGTATTTATACTGTGTGACACAGCAATCAAAATGCAGGTGTACAATTAATGTATAATTTCACATTATGTAATGAAGGGTGACTTCATGAATCATCTCTGAAGTCATTTTTCAACCTGACGACTCTGTAAATGATAAAACAGGGAGAAAAAACAGCCCTTGCTGAGTTTCTTGCCGGTTCTTCTCAGTACAAGGTCTCCCGCCGTAGATTTACGAACCGATGGCGTAGCTTCTAGACATTCATATGTGCTTGTAACAGCCTAAACTGAATAAATGATTATTATTGATTATAGGCATCTGTGAGGTAGGCGGTTTGCTGAGGCTCATGGTCTTCGATATAACACAACTAAAAATGTGCTACTTGTGTTCAAGGCCGGTAACAAGTCTTATAAAGTACCTCCTGTATTTCTAAATGGTATTCCAGTTGAGAGTCACTGACGGACGATATGGACATGGAACGGGAGCGCAGGGTCTTGTGCATTAGAGCTAATATGCTTTCCCGCAGGTTTGCACGTTGTTCTAAACAAGCCAAGATCACGCTTTCTAAAGCGTATTGCCACTCTCTGTACACGTGCGGCCTGTGAATGAATTACACTCAAGGGGCATACAGGGCCCTGCGTATCCAATACAACAACGCCTTCAGGGCGCTGATGGGGCTGCCACGCTACTGTAGTGCTTCGGGGATGTTAGCGACGTCTGAAGTTAATAGCTTTTCTGCTATCATTAGGAAACGTATCGCATCCTTGTTATAGCGGGTGCGGGGCGGCTCCAACAGCCTCCTGAGGATAGTGGCGGGAAGGTTGGACGTGAACAGCGCTATAATGCAGCACTGGACTCGCGTTCACCTAAAGAAAGACACTACTATCACGCATATCAATTATACCAAGTGTTTTGTTTCCAAAATTATTTTTGAAGTTATACTTCTTTAGGCGCGTTATGAAAAAATGATGAGAGTGAAATTTTAAGATGCGCGCGCATCACTGTAACACAAAATTTTACTTTTGTGTTTACCGCACATTAAGAAAATCTACCAACAAAACAGAAATAGAATCTCTATTTAGTGGGTGCTAACGACTGCATTGTGAAGGCCTATCAAAAGTAATTTATTAATCTGGAACAACGGAACCAAAGCGCGATTCTGGAGACTACAACGCCATCTCTTGACCATTGGTGTAGTAGAACCAAAAACCACATCTTCATTTTTTGTAATAAAGTAACAGTTATAGGTATTCATATTTATAATATTTATCCACATGTTTCTAGTTTGTATATTCGGAATACGTGTTTGAGTTTCATACAAGTCACGCGCCTACATAAGTACACGCACCCATTTTTTTTCTGTTACTAACATAGTTTATAAGGTCAATGTTGTTACTAACAATATGGATAATTATCCGAAATAAATGAATTTATTATTATTATTATTATAAAACAAAATCGGCTAGAGGCGACGAAGAGGGTCAGGCATTATATTAGCGGGAGTACCAGTACTATCAAATGAGAATCTAATAAAATAATCCTTTGTTTCCAGGGCGGATGTCATACAAACGTTGACCATGGTGTTGGTCAGCATGGCGTTCATCATACAGGCCACAGTTAAGGCAGGCGGACCTGGAAAGGTGATCCAGGACAACATAGATGGAAACAGGCTGCAGTTCTTTAAGTAAGTGATTACCTTTATTTCACGAAACACGGGTATAATCTTAATACGGTGACCCACTTCTTTCGGTTTCTGAAGACTCGTCTATTGATGCATGCTTCATAACAGGCTTGTTTTCTTTCTTTTGCACTAAGTCTTATACATAACTTTCAATAAAAACCTATGGAAGAATTCTCTATACAGGAATTCTGACTATAAATTTCTTATGTTCGTGTCCTCTTATCTACCTTACCTCGTTATTATATATGTATTTGTGTATCAATGACATCTTGAAAATTACAAGATCTAATCATAACACAATGATTCTTAATGAAAAGCTTCTTAGTAGGATGCTTTTGTTTTTTTCTAAACCTAAACTCATCATCATCAGCCTATTAATGTCCCCACTGCTGGGGCACAAGCCTTCCCTATGGATGGAATAGGGTGATTGGGCCATGACCCACCACGCAGGCCCAGTGCGGATTAGCGGGTGCTAACGACTGCAGATGCAGCCGGGACCAACGGCTTAACGTGCCTTCCGAAGCACGGAGGAACTCAAGATAGAAGATTTTTGGTCGGGTGACTGGATGGATGGGGTATCCATTGACCGACCACTGCGAAAGTTGCTTAACTTCAACGATCGCAGCCGAACGCGCTAACCACTTGCGCCATCGAGCTCCTCAAACAAAACAAAACAAACCTAAACTACTCCACATTATTTCAGATTCAATTGGGATCCGACGGTACGCGTGGACACATTATCCGCAATCTTTGGCCAGATGTTCATGTCAGTGTCCATCTACGGTTGCCAGCAAACCTTCGTGCAGCGCTACTGTTCCATGTCTAGCGAAAGTCGAGTCAGAAGGACCCTTCTCGCCAACGTACCAGCGGTGGGGATCCTCTTCAGCCTGTCCTGGGTCGTAGGCATGGCCATATACTCCGTGTACAAGAATTGCGACCCGCTAAAGGCTGGAAGTATTACCGCACCGGATGAAGTGCTGGCGTACTATGTGCAAGACCAGTACGCGTTCTTGCCTGGCATGCTGGGTCTGTTCCTGGGAAGTCTGTTCAATGGCGCTTTGAGGTGAGTTCAGTTTTACCCTATGTTAATTAAGGAAGTAACATCTACATGGTAGAATTCATGATAATAATGGCAGTGACCATGAGATATTGTAATAATTTAAGAAACATCAAGTTCTTCAGTAATTGAATTACTTTAATTGAAATTACATGTATTTGAAATTACTTACGTCCGAAGTAATTTAAATTACATTAGTTTGTAATTCAAATTACTCAATTACTTTTTAAGGGTAACATAATAAACTACTAAAATTGAGCGGTTTTAGCTTGATGCCCGTACGCAGCACAACACAAACAAAGTTTAAGTGTACAATTTGCCATGAATTTATGAGTGTATAAGTTTGTGCCTCGTTACCTGTACCTACACCTATCCCTTTTCTAGTCTCCCGGCGGCGTGCACCTTTATTTCGATTGATGGTTCTCATATGCTACAATGATTAACTTACCAATATCTTACAAACTTTCTGATCAAATGTTTGAACAAAGAGTAGTATTAATGTCTAATTTAAAATAAATTAAACATTTATTACCTTAATTTTAAAAAAGGTGGTTATAATATCACAATTTATCTGATCTATTTCTTATTAAACATTTGATAAATCATAATATAATAGTTTTATGTAAATATACTGGCCTCGTCTTTAAAAGAGATCAATCAACAATTGGGAATTGTAATTGTTAATTGAATTACATTTCAATAATTTCAAGTAATTTGTAATTAAAGTCACCAATTACAATTTGTAATTGAAATTGTTAATTTGAAGTTAATTACATTTTGCCCAACACTGCCAAATAGAGGCTCATTACAAGCGTGTGGACTTTTATAACCTTTTTTTAGGGTTCTGTAGGCCTGACAAAGAACTCTTATAGTTTCGTCATGTCCATCTGTCCGCTCCCGGCTTTGTTTCGAGACTATTTGCACAAGAGAGTTGTTATTTTGTGGAGATCATATGTATATCGATCACGCCTTCAAAATGGTAGAATAAAATTTTGAAAAATATTTTATGATTATGAGTTTGGCGCGTAAAGCAGGCTACAAAGTCTGTTTGCGCTTCTCTCGGTGCTTCAGGGAAGCGTAATGCCTTACCTCTCCTATTGTCTGAACTCATGTAATGTAAATACCTACTCTTTTCAGTTTCCTGGTGTCAAATGTGAACTCCCTGGCCACTGTCACTTGGGAAGACTTTGTGTCAGCCGCACCATCCTTCAAGGGGACCAGTGATAAACAACAGCTGACTGTCATCAAGATCATCGGAATAGTTTACGGTTTGTAGTTTTTGATAGTGGGTTAAAATTGATAGTTACGATTACAAAATCTCGCAAGAGCTATTTTTTGGCCGAGTACATTTTTATGACAATTCATTAGGCATTATTCATATAATATTAGTACAGAAAATTTCTCAGTTTATGTGTTAACCTAACGAACTTGAGAAGCGTAAGAAAATCCCCGACCGATCAACTCACTATGTTCTTTTTGATATTATAATTAGTATATATTTAAAATATATCTATATATACTAGCGGCCCGCCCTCGCTTCGCTTCGGTGTAGAGCTGTAGTGTAGACTACAGTTTTTGTTCTCAGGCTTGTATTATACACAATGACATTTATCTATGATTCTTCTTATACCTGCATGCAAAGTCTCCGCCCGATCGGTTTAAAATTGACAAAGTTTCATACAAACTTTCATTCCCTATTTTACCCCCTTAGGGGAATAATTGATCAAAAACCTTTCTTAGCGGATGCCTACGTCATAACATCTACATGCATGCCAAATTTCAGCCCGATCCGTCCAGTGGTTTGGGCTGTGCGTTGATAGATCACGATGTCAGTCAGTCACCTTTGAGTTTTATCTTTATATATATAACTCTTCTGTGAGTGTGTATGTCACTGAACTTCTCTTAAACGACTGGACCGATTTTGATGAAATTTTTTGTGTGTGTTCAAGGGGATCTGAGAATGGTTTAGATTCACAATTTTGTCCGCTGTACAACCCCTATTTTTTTTTAGGGCGGTACGAAGTTCGCTGGGTCAGCTAGTATATATATATAAAACTTAGTGATTTGATAACATTGTCAATATAATTTCCAAATATGCGACACTGACATAATGTAAATAATGAAACAATTAAAAACAAATGAAATCCTACTGATATCCTGTTCTGCTACTGGCAGCGGTGGTGATAATGTGCCTCTCCCTGGCGGTTGGCATGACGGGCGGCGTGGTCGAAGGCTCGCTCCTAGTGACATCGGCCACGTCCGGAGCGTTACTGGGCGTGTTCATCCTCGCCGCGCTGTGTCCCGCTGCCAACGGACGTAGCGCGCTCGCCGGCATGCTGGCCGCGCATTTCCTCACCGTGTGGATGGCAGCAGGCAGGCTGCTACGCGTCGACAGCAGCGTGGAGATGCTACCTCTGTCTGTGGCGGTGAGTAGTGCCGTCTGATCCTATACAGGGTGTTACAAAAATACAAATAAAGCTTGAAGGGCGTTGAAGTACATCATATAAGGAGTGTTCTCTAATTTTCTTAAAATATTTGCACGAAGTTTGAACTTTTTATTATATATATATTTACAGTTATTTTTAATGATTAATAAAAATATCGATCATTTTAAGACATGTTACTAGTTTGAGGTCATGCACCTTACCAGGAGTAGTAATAAATCTGCTGTAATAAAGAAAATTAGAGAAGATTCCTTATATGATGTACTTCAACGCCCTTCAAGATTTATTTGTATTTTAGTAACACCCTGTTTACTGCCGGGCGTGTTCACCCTTCCCTCGCTGTGTCCTGCTGCCAACTGGTGCGGTGAGCTATCAGGCATGCTGGACACGCACTGCCTCGCTGTTTGCGTTGCGGTGGGCAGGCTGCTACGCGTCGACATCAGCGTGGAGATGCTGCCTCTGTCTGTGGCTGTGAGTAGTGCTGTCTGATCCTATATACTGACGGGCGTGTTCACCCTTCTCTCGCTGTGTCCTGCTGCCAACTGGTGCGGTGAGCTCTCAGGCATGCTGGCCACGCTATGCCTTACTATGTGCCTTGCAGTGGGCAGGCTGCTGCGCGTCGACATCAGCGTGGACATGCCACCTCTGTCTGTGGCTGTGAGTAGTGCTGTCTGATCCTATATACTGACGGGCGTGTTCACCCTTCCCTCGCTGTGTCCTGCTGCCAACTGGTGCGGTGAGCTCTCAGGCATGCTGGCCACGCACTGCCTTACTATGTGCCTTGCAGTGGGCAGGCTGCTGCGCGTCGACATCAGCGTGGAGATGCTGCCTCTGTCTGTGGCGGTGAATGGTGCTGTCTAATCCTATATACTGACGGGCGTGGTCACCCTCGCCGCGCTGTGTCTTGCTGCCAACTGGTGCGGTGAGCTCTCAGTCATGCTGGCCACGCACTGCCTCGCTGTGTGCCTTGCGGTGGTCAGGCTGCTGCGCGTCGATATCAGCGTGGAGATGCTACCTCCGTCTGTGTCGCTGATTGGCCATCGTCTCATCCTCATGCTTATCCAAAGAGTCGGTGGCTTTGGTACTAAAATGCGCTGAAATTAACGTCCCAACTTTGAACTTAGTACGCACCTTCAGCTGCACAAACAAATTTTTAGATTTTTACAATCTTTTTTAGCGTGTCAAATAATCGCCAATATTATCTAGAGTCTATATATAGACACGCAGCTCGCTAATCATTATGACAGAACATTATCAAATTTCGAACACAAATGTTTAGCGCATTTAGTACTAAAGCCACCCGAAGCTTTGTCGCGCAGGAGTGCGCTCATTATATATCATGCATTATAGCACGGTGGCCCCGCTCTGCCTCATCATGTGGATGGTGATGAGCCGGCTGATTTAATTTGATAAGAGTTTTGTGATGCTGTATCAATTCTCTATTCGTTTAAGTAATAACATTACTAACGTTTCCGATGTGACACGACGTGATATTCACGATAAATATACGAAGCTGTTTTAGAGTTTGTAGTGTAGTACGTCGCTGAAAAGAACCTAGCGCCCATTATAGGATTCTCTACTAGATACCGTTGCAAGACTGATATTCCTCAAAAAGTTATTGGCGTCGCTGCGCTGAGTATCCTGAACAAAATCCCCAATCCCTTTGAGTCCTGAAACTTTATTACTAACCAATAGAAACACAACACCAGCACACTTTAATTGGATACTATTCTTAAATCAATGAATATCTACAGGGTTGTGCGAACGAGACAGCGAACGTTTTTCATAAGCCCCTGCCGGTGAGCCAGAACGAGACGTTGAAGCAACTAGCACCCATCCTGCAAGCTCTTAACACCAGCCGCATATTGCCGACCGAATCCACCATGTGAGTTCACTTTCTTTATCTAATCACTGGTATCTACGGAAAATTTAATAGCTATTATCATCATCAGCCCATTATTGAATCGGTTACTGGGGCACAGGCCTTCGATAAGAACAGGCTATGACCCACCACCCAGGCTTATTGCGGGTCGGTCGATGCTTGACGACTGCAGACATTTAATAATACATGTATTTTTGGTCACCGCTTCTATAATACACACTGAACTGTAACAGAATTCAAAAAAGTCCCACTTGATTTTAATGGACCTAACGTCACTGAAATCTTGTAGGTATAATCCTCTATATATTTTAAATGAAATCATCATTATAAATTTTGTGTTTCAAGTAATGCTGAAATCTTTTTCATTTTCTTTCCAGACCTTCCGCTCTCCAAACCTTTTACTCGATATCTTACATGTGGTACGCTGTTATCGGCACTGTGACATGTGTCACTATTGGGGTCATCGTGGGACTTTTAACCGAAAATGACTCCGACATATACGATGAGAGATTGCTCCATCCTCTTGTCGCAAAGCTAGCCAGGAAGATGCCGGGTAAACCTAGGAAATTCTTGAATGAAAATGTAGAGAAACCCGTAGAAGAGAAAGAGTCTTCCGAAAGAACAGAAGAGATAGTAGTGGAAGAGGTGAAGCCAACGATAGTTTTTACGACGAACTCGAGTAGATTGTTTGATGTATACGAGACTAGGAAATCGCCATCGCCTTTTCCAGAAAGGACGAGATTGTGATGTTTCTACTGTGAGATGAATAGGTTTAGGACGCCATAATATTTGATGTAATGGGACCAAACAGTGAAAGTTTGGACGATAATTTAAGTTTGCCATAATGTCTTCACTCGGATTGTGAAGCGGTCTGTCCTCAAATGATTGGTTTTGAGGATTTTGTTAATTGAATATATTGACTAATATTATTATTTAAGCTGTCAGAGATTGATTGGTGTGAATCAGAATTAGTTGGCCTCTTAATAAAAGTTTTTGGAAACTCTGAAGGCTTTCAATATCAGAACGATTACTGAAGTTAAGTACCAACACAATAATAGTAAAGTCAATGTAGGTGATCCTTACAGAAAGTTGCAGTTCAAGAACACTTGCAGCTTTAGAATTTTCGACACTTAATTTTCTACTGTGAAATTGTAACTGTATTTAAAAACACCTAAATTTGATGTCACATATAAATTTATCAGGAAGTTTTTTTTATTCCCTAACAAGCTGACTTTATTTTCTGTTGCTTTGAATGCAAAACTATGGCGATTAATTTTCGATGGTGTGAAATACCATAACAACATATAGGTATATTGTCAACAAATCGAATTTAATCATTTAAAAGACAGTTAATAATAAGAGGTGCATTTTGATGAATGATTATGTTTATTTTGTATACGAATTTAGATTTATATTAATTCTTAAAGAAGAAGATATTACGGCTATGTGATAATAGTGTATGTATTTGTAAATATTTATAATTCATAAATTTGTAACTTATAGTAATGTATGTACGTTAAATTTTTTGATTTGAAAAAGAGTTTATATTTAGATTTCATATTTTCACTAAGGTCACTCTTTGAAAATTATTCGTAGAGCTCTATAAATCTTATTATCAAACTACAAAAAATTGCAATTGTTTTTACTTTTAAGGATTCTCTCTTCTAAACTATGAGCAATTCGCGAAAAGGCAGGACGAAAACCTTTAGAAAGCTCTATATGGATCATTCTAATTACACAGACCTTATCGAATTCCAAGAAATTTTATTTATATCCTACTTTGTAGGTGATCGAAGCGTATATTAATCTGGTTCTTTCTGTATTGGTAAACACTGGATTTTATTATTTATCTATAAAGAGCAGAACAATGCCGCAATAAATTTGGGTTTTGAATAATACAGTGTTTTTGTGTAATGAAAATTTCGAGTGCAGAATGCGTTTACTCTGTCTTATTGTCATTAGGTTAGTTATTATTTGGCATTATTCATGATGTTAATAATCATCATATAAGTAATATTAAAAATAAATACTGCGAGGATGGTTTTAATAATTCTCCCATAAGCTAGGTTAGTTTAGTAAATTTAACTTTAATTATTTTATATCAAAGATCGGTTTGTGACTATCAGTTTATGCGAATGGATTCCCTAAAATCATACAGTGCTGTTCTTGAAGATGTCTTATGAATATCTCTTGCGATGAAAAGCTTATTAAATTTTTTAAGTAGGTGGACTGAATCAACAATTGTTTCAATAGCAGCAGTCCTGCCTTTTGCTTAAAAGCTTTCAGCTTTGAATATTTGAAGACGAATTTGATTTGTACGGTGAACACAATCCTTTGCTCCTGAGTCATGATTGTTAATATATTTCATAATGTATTGTATTCATTATTCGATACATGTCTTACAAGCTCTGTGTAGTTTGTATTTAATTAATTGATGTGAATTATTCGAATTCTTAATTAAGAAGTCCGTCCCTCTAGTTTAGAATCAGTTTCTTATTTTTTTTTTCATAAGTCATCTGTCCCAGTTTTAGTAACAAGTTCACATGCGTATAATGATTGTGATGTTTGACAGTATTATATTTACGATCGTTAAGATTGTAAGTGTCCTTTCTTATGTTATTTAAAGATATCTATCTTTATTAGTTTGTAAATTTAAATCTCATTATCAAGAATTATTTTTAAGCAAACATCGCCATATAGAGCGGTAGACCAACATATTCTGCCACGGTACAAAAAGCAAATTAAATAAAGTAATTTTTCATGAGATCTGTTTTTTATTATTAGATTTTCCGAGAAGAAAATGTTGTTTCAAAGAATTTACCATTATAATCAAGAAAAATTGTACAACAACTTTTCTTTTACTTCATAAAGTTTTACATTTCCTTCCTTCCTAGTCGTGGTCATGTCTCCATCGATACCTGTGCATCTGTTGCGCTCTCGATGCGTCACCATGCAGCTCGAGTTTTTGCAGAGGGAGGGCAATGATTTACGCTGGAGTGCGTCGTTGATTTAAAAAGGTCTGTTCAAGTATCCACTGTGTCAGAGAGTGCCCGCGAGATATTTTACTCAAAACATTCCCTTAAACCTTTAAGTTATTGGAACTAGGAATAAGCCCTTTATACCTATCGAAAAGTTAACCCCGCAGAGCTAATGGATAGCAGAATAATCATCTATAGTTAAAGCTCTCCAGGCCTCTATTTGAAGTGAAATCACTGGACACTGCAAATCCTTAAGAAAAAGTTTACTCTAAATTAATTGGATGACCATCTTGACGTTAGTACTACTGGCCATCCTAAATGATTGTAGAAAACAAATAGGAGCATGGAAAGCACTTCTCTTTCAATGACTAGTGTAGTGGCCTGTCATATTGACGTACGTATACGACAATGAATTTGTTTGCTTTTGGGGTATCATACCAAAGGGTGCCAGCAGAACCATATTAAGGAGCCTCCGATCTGTGTCAGTTGCAGTCAGGTATCTAATAAACCGTAATAGATTGTTTTTTTAACAAAACTTTTATTATTTTATATATTTCATCATCATAACCATATCAGCCGTACAACGTCCATTGCTGACCAATCAAAATCAAATCCTATCCTAAGATTGGTCCTACTCCACTCGCATCCATCGGCTTCCCGAGACCTTCATCAATAACCTTTCCACCCCAACGGCCATCTGTTCTTCTTGCTACGTGTCTCACCAACTGCCACTTCAGCAGAGCAATTCTTCGAGCGATATCGGTTACTTTGGTTCTCCTACGGATTTCCTCATTTCTGATTCTATTGCATAGGGAAATACTGAGTATCGCTCCTTCATTGCTCGCTGTGTGACCTTGAGCCTTCTTGTGAGACCCGCAGTAAAGTACCACGTCTCACTACCAAAGGTCGTCACTGGCAACATACACTGGTCAAAGATACTGGACTTTGTCTTTAAATACTAAGGTAAATTGGACGCGAAGATTTTCCGTAGCTTCCCGAACGCTGCCCATTCGACGTGGGCTTTAAAATAATTGGACTCTACCGTACGGACAGCATCCATCATCGTGTTGTTCAGATCGTCCACATCTAAGCAGTTTTCAAGGGATTCGAAGCGGTTGTGAAGTACGAATTGAAAGCCCTCGAGCTTTTGGAGTTGGTTGTAGGCTTTGGTCAGAGCGTTGGTCAAGCTTCAGAGAGCTCAAAATTAAGCTTGAGAGATCTCGAATGCTAAAGTCTACGCTCTGACTAAAGCCTACAACCAACTCCAAAACCCCGAGGGCTTCAATATCCCCCTTATATTCAAATTCCCCTTTTTACTAACCGGTAATCACTTCCCGTTTTGACGGCGTTGATCGCAGATACATCATTGAATATTACCTTTTTCGTCGACATGATTAAGTCGATCTTGTTTCTGACTTTGCCGTCCGGATTCATCCAGGTCCATTTACGATTTTGAGGTGTTCTCAGGAAGGAGTTCATCATAAAGATGTTTTTCTTCTCCATAAAATCTACCAACGTCTGTCTTCTGGCGTTCCGTTGCCCAACACCAAATTGCCCCCAACCTTGAGGTGAAGAAACTTATCACAAGTTCACAACCGTGTAGGCTGTTTTGTACCTATGCATGGCTTTTGTGATCTCCTCATAAAAAGCTTTTACTTCGTGATCTGTGTGCGTCGAGTTCAGAGCATAAACCTGTATGACATTCAACGAATATCGTTTTGATACTCTGAGTATCAGTAGTGCTATTCGGTATTGCTACACCGGTCGATACAATTCCGATGGTGATCACGTTGTGAATGGTAAACCCGACATCGCCCTCCCGGTAGTATAGCAAGTTACCGGAATTGACTATTATCGAGTCCTCTCCCTCCCTTCGGACTTCATATAAACGAATAATATCCCAGCGTAACTTACTAATAGCTTCTTCCAACTCTATTAGCTTAGCGTCGGTCCTCAGTGTGCGCATGTTGTAGGTTACAAGGTCGAGACGTCGTATGTGGTAGCCAGATCTTACCCAGGGATTCTTACCACCCCTTGCCCCGCTATCACCGCATCTGGGCACTAGGGGCCGATCTTTAATTCTGTTAAACAACTCGGAGGGTTTTGCTATAATAGCCACGCTTGGCAGGCGGGTTGGCGATCGTAGTATAGCTGAGATATTGCAACAAGACGCTGCTGCCCGTCTTCTGGTGGCTGTGTTCCCTAAGTCGCATTTTACGACACCCATGGGACGAGAGGGGCAGTGCTATTGTAGGCTGGCACACACGGCACATATTTGCGACTGCCAAAGTAAAAAAAAAACTATATTTAAAGTAAAAAATGTAAATGCTATTTGGCTTGCAAATGCAACATGTTTTAAGACACTTTTGAAATCTGTTGCTTCGATTACTTTGTGTTTAGACTAAGTCTAAATTTTTAATATGAATCCTAGGTACGTATTTTCATGACGTCATAAAAACCACCCACAGGAGATTAAATAAAGGTAAAAGGTAGTCTAAGCTTCTCGGAATCTATCACGTGGCGACTTCAATTTCAATTTAAGGCGAGTAATAACAAACCTATTAGATTGCTGTGACTACGTTTCATCGGAAATTTACAACCGCAAAAATTACGAATTCTATATAACGAAAATCATAATAGTAGACACGAAAATAGTTTCAGTATCAGGAGCAATAAAACTGAAAGCAAATACAGAATGTTTTGCCTCTTTCGAAATAAGGATTACCCAAAAGGAAATTACCCTGAATTTTAATCAAACGGTATTAGTAATATAATATTAATGAAATTCGTTCCTAATTTTCCCAAAAACCCATGACCTTTTGCACGTTTAGTCATGCAGGTAAATTATATTAAGGATCTTGTTAAATAAATCATGATCGCAGAACCCGACATCTCATAGCCGTCAGACCGCACCGACATCCACTAGCCCTTGATTTTGTCAATCTTAATATACGGGTAGGGTCTCCTTTAGAGTACTTATGCAAATCGGAAATCCCTCCGGCGACTCAATTTCTACAGTAATTCCCAGTTCGGGGACTATAAGTATGTACTCGTTATTGGGGCTCTTAGCGTTAATATTATCGGGATTTTAGTGATTTCATACATAGGTAAAAGTTTTTCTCAGAATCCTTGATATTCAAATGTTATAATAACTTCTGGAAGATTTCAAGCGAATAATATTGTTATTCATAAGTAGTTAAGTGTTGAGTTCGTTCAGTGATAAAGTTTATTAAAGTTCCAAGAAGGCTTTCCTCTGTTTTCTTAGGATGAGAATAGGAACGAGATTGTTACTCTATTGTTGTAGGCATCTAAAACATAATATTGAAAACTGTGGCTACTAGGTAAAATTCATTTTTTTTAATATAGGTGCACAGTTTTATTTGAGAGATCTGAGCCTGTACTTTTAGAGTTGACTTCAGAAATCAAAATATGTAGATCCACCCAAATGCAGGAATACGCAGTCGTAGATAGATGTTTCATCATCATAATCGGCCTCTTAATATCCCCACTGCTGGGGCACAGGTTTTCCCTATGGATGGAATAGGGAGATTGGGTTATGACCTTCAACGAGGGCCTATTGCAGATTGGTGGGTACTAACCACTGCAGATGCAGTGCCTTCCGAAGCACGGAGAAACCCGAGATAGTAAAGTTTTGGGAACCCATCCAATGACCGACCACTGTGAAAGTGGTTTAACTTTAACGATCACAGCCAAATGTCTTTACCACTTGCACCATCGAGCTTCTACTCTAAAGATATATTTTTAACGCTGTCCAGTAGGACATGCACGATACTATAAATATCATGGTCACTTTTTACACAATTTATCATTGAACATACTCGTATAACGTCATGTTTTTTGTATAAATCTGCAAATAAACACACGTTATCAAATACCAGGTACAAACGAAACAATATTGCATATCGCTTCAAAAAAAAATTCCGAAAACTGATGCAAAAATTAATTTTTGTCTGTCTATTAGCTTAGCTATGTTAATATTATATCATCAATCCTCTTTATCTCATGGCCTTGATGACTTCGAAGGAAACAACAGTTTTATATAGATAGGTCCAACAAATGACACCACCCCACCTGATGTTAAGTGACGGTGAAGTCCAGACGTGAAGATAGCTGGTACAGCAGTTCTACCTGCCATACCTGACATCCTAACCTTGCCGGACTGCATGTTACTTTTTCATGGCTCTTTGGATCGCAGGTTGCAAGAAAAAGGGAACCAGGGAGCAGGCAGAGCATTCCATTTTCGGATAGTGCTACAAAGAAAGAGTTACTTTTCTTTGTACGCGTTGGAATTTTGGCTACAGTGCGACGGTGGCCAGCGCGCGTTGTCCTCTGAAGGAAAGAGGAAGAGAGAGAAGAAGAGAGAATAACTATATTATTATCATCATCATCATCATCTAATTAATATTGCCATTGCTGGGGCACAGGCCTTCCCTATGGATGGAATAGGGAGATTGGGCCATGACCCACCACGCGGGCCCATTGCGGATTGGTGGGTGCTAACGACTGCAGATGCAGCCGAGACCAACGGCTTAACGTGCCTTCCGAAGCACGGAGGAGCTCGAGATAGTAATTTTTGGTCACCCATCCAATGACCGACCACTGCGAAAGTTTAACAATCGCAGCCGAACGCGCTAACCACTTGCGCCATCGAGCTCTTCATTATAATAGTGTTGTAAGAATGTGCGGGAGGGCGAAGGGGGAGTGTGAGAAGACTGACGTCAAATAAAGATAGGCGTAGGTAGAAAATACTTATATTCTGATTACTA